CAAGTGGATAGTGCCCTAGGATGGACATCAGGAGGCCAGGTGACCAGGAGACACTGTCTCCCCGGGGCCAATGGGAGCCCCTAGCTCAGAGCTCCTCATGGGGGGGGCTCCACCCACTGGGTGGTGCATTTGCAGTTGTTGCAGAGGGGAGAACTTGCTGCAGGCATGGAGTAGGTGGAGACCAGGGATGCCACCCCCAGGCCCCAACCCTGTAGTGCAGCCGAGCTAGAGGTCATAAGATAATTCAGAGGCCCCAGTAGTGGCCCGCCCTGCCCCCTCACGCTTCTGCGTCCTCCCAGAGCGTGGGGCAACACCGGGTTCACAAGGGGTCATGGGCTGAGAGCCGAGTGCACCTGCACTTGGCCCAGGCCTGCAGGTCTCGTCACCCAAAGGGGCCTTCACGGAGCAGTGGCTGAGCATTCGGCTGCTAGCGGAGAGGTCTCTAGTTCAAGTCCATCAGCCGCTTTGTAGGAGAAAGAGGAGGCTCTGATCCTGTGAAGACTGCTCTGCCCTACAGGGTCGCTCTGAGTCAGCATCGACTGGACAGCTGTGGGTTTGGCTCTTGGTGGGGGACTGTCACCCCGTGGTGAGTGATGGTCAATGAGCACTCTCTGCCAAGTGCTTCATGTGCCCCGTCTCAAGGCCCAATGGGGGGTGGGGGGTGCTGTTGTCACCCAAGGTGGCCCAGGGAGAGGTTGAGGGTCCTGAGGCGCCCAACAGGAGCTGTTGATGGTCCAGCCTGATGCCGCGCTCCTGCCCTAGGGATGCTCTCGAGCTGGAAGATGGGAGCAGAGAACCGAAAATAGAAGCTGGGGGTGGGGAGGGGAGGGGAGGGGAGCCTGGCTTTTGCTGTGTTGGCTTCGCAGAGGAAGGCTGGAGGGGAGGGGGAGGATGAGGAAGGCAGGCTGAGCGAGGAAGGGGAGGGGTGCAGCTAGGTCCTTGGGAAGCGCCTTAGGTTTGTCTGTCTTTGACGACTGTTCTAAAGGTAGACCATTTTCCAGCCTGCCCAGGGGCACTGTGGAAGTCAAGCCTGGTGACCCACGTCTGCAAGGAGAGCTGGGAAGGGGGCGCGGGGTGGCAAAGCAGTGGGCTTTGGTGGGTGGGCGAGGCGTCCTCTCACACTGGTGTGTCTGTGTGTGTGGTTGCCCCCCTGCCCCCCCCCAGAACATGGTGATGAGTTTTCGAGTCTCCGACCTTCAGATGCTCCTGGGCTTCGTGGGGCGCAGCAAGAGCGGACTGAAGCATGAGCTGGTGACGCGGGCCTTGCAGCTGGTCCAGTTCGACTGCAGCCCCGAGCTCTTCAAGAAGATCAAGGAGCTCTACGAGACACGCTACGCCAAGAAGAACGCCGAGCCGGGCCCGCAGCCCCACCGGCCGCTGGAGCCCCTGGCCATGCACGCAGCCTACGAGCGGGCTGGCGCACTGCCCCGGCCGCCCCTCACGGGGCCCAGTCTTGACTACCCCGTGCTCTATGGAAAGTACTTGAACGGACTTGGGCGCTTGCCCGCCAAAACCCTCAAGCCAGAGGTCCGCCTGGTCAAGCTGCCCTTCTTCAACATGCTGGACGAGCTGCTGAAGCCCACCGAGCTGGGTGAGTGCTGCCGCCAGCCGCCCTCCAGGGCTTGTGTTTGTCAGCTGTGGCCTCGCAGCGAGGAGGCCCCAGCTTAGAACAGCGAGCACACAGGGTAGCGCGTGGTTCCTGGGTCAGGCGGCTGCTGGGGGCCGTGGTTCGGCTCCGGGTCTCACCAGGTGCGGTCGTGTTGTGGCCAGGACCCCGTCTCACTGAAGGCCTGACTCGGGCTGGACCAGCTGCCTCCGCCTCAGGCTCTGTCATGTGCTATTTGGCTGCCCTCCGTTTCCGGGTGGAGACACGGTTTTCCCGTCAAGTGGGCCTTTGCACAGATGGCCAGGGTGGTGGTGGGCCTGTCTCACAGACGACAGAGAGAACATGTGAGTGTGCACAGCCACAGTCTCTTTAGGACCTGTTGTCGAGGCCCAGCTGCG